CAATCAGCTAGATGTTGCTGGGGCCACTGTGAGCCAATCATCAGCTGGCAGCTTAAAGGGCAGGGAAACAGCCCAATGAACATGACTGCAGAGGAGCCAATCAGCTAGATGTTGTTGGGGCCACTGTGAGCCAATCATCAGCCGGCAGCTGGAAGTTTGCTGGCAGCTGGAAGTTTGCTGGGGCCCCTTTGGCTGTGGCTCTCAACAGTTTCTCATATTAAAAATGCCTCTATGTTGTGTTCATTTCAGGGAATAGTGTAGGATGCCCCCAAACTAATCAAATCTACCTATCCTAGAGAATAAGCTATCTGTGTAGACTATAGGGTTATGACTATGGGACATCCAAATCCCATTTTAAAAACTGAGTAAAAAGTTGGAGGACTAGCCCTAAAAAATTTTTAAAAATTTAAAAAAAAAAAAAAAGGTTGTTTTTGGTGCCAGGGATTGAACTCAAGGGCACTTAACCACTGAGCCATATCCCCAACCCTTCTTATTTTTTATTAAGACAGGGTCTCACTAGATTGCTTACAGCCTGGATAAGTTGCTGAGGCTGGCTTTGAACCTGAGATCTTCCGGTCTCAGCCTCCCAAGCTGTTGGGATTAAGGCATGAGCCACCACGCCTGGCTGGCCCTAAACATCTAATCAAGAAGCTTATTACCAGAAAGTTGATCAGCTTAGAAATGAGGCCAATGGAATACCCAAATCAAAAGTTTGTTAGTGTGCCTCCAAGACTTTCTGAGAGTGGTGGCCACGGTACTAACCAGTTTGGGCACATAATAAGTCTTTAAGATCACAGAACACTTAATTCTTAACCCAACACTTCTACTTTCACAAGTTAGCTTTCAGTGTAGCCTTGCTAAAATAAAGACTACATAGACCCCCAACATATGAAATGTCAGGTGGCCATGGCAGTTGTATTTCTCACTAGAAACAAACCACCCAGCATTTGATCTCTATAATCAGCTTCTCATCAATCTGACTGTTGTAAGCCAGCACTAACTTATCCAAGGGCTTTTTTTACCAGGCATAGTGCTTGCTGTTTATCTCAGCTTGAATGTTTCTGGACCCTTATAAATGAACTTTGAATCCCCTAAGGCACTGCCTGCTACAAGGAAGACCAAAGTTATGTGGTTCTTTCCCCTTCAAATGGTCATTTTAAACAGCTTCTATCCACAGGGATCTGAACCTGTAGGGCAACATTCATTTGTCTATTTACCTTATAGCAGCTGTCACTGGAAGCTCACTACGTAGTCAGGCACTGCTTATCTCATTTAATCCTCAAAAAACTGAGCCCATTTGGCACATGCCTGTAATCCCAGCAGCTTGGGAGGCTGAGGCAGGAGGATCACAGATTCAAAAGCCAGCCTCAGCAAAGGTGAGGCACTAAGCAACTCAGTGAGACCCTGTCTCTAAATAAAATACAAAACAGGGTCAGGGTTGTGGCTCAGTGACCGAGTGCACTGGAGTTCAATCCCTGGTACCAAAAAAAAAAGGGAGGGGGGCATTATCATACCTATTTTACAGATGAGGCCACTGAGGTCATGGTCGATCATATAACTTGACATGCCACAGAGCTGACAAACTGTATTGAAACTGTCAGCCAATTCTCCAAAGAATGTTCTATTAGGTTTCCCTCCTTCCAGTTTATCTGCTACATAGCAAAGCCATCTTTCCAAACCCAACTAAGTTCCTAACATTTTGCTGGTTAAATCCTTCAAAGGCATGCCTCACCGCCAACAAGACAAAGTAACATGCAAGACCCTTAGTAACCAGGTTCCTGCCAATTCCTCCCATCTCTTCTCCCTTTCCCCTCCGGCATCCTCCAGTCGTCCTGTCTTTGTTCTTAGGTTCTCCAGGTCTATAACATTCCCTCCCATTTTCGCCGAGAAAAGTGACAATTTTCCACAAACCATCTACTGGAGAAAGCATTTTTACTCGCCCCTCTCCGTTACTCTTGCCTAAAGCTACATCCCCACACTGAACCGTAGCATTCCATTATCCGCGTCCTCTACTAGAAAGTGAACTCGGTGATGGTGCAGCCCCAGCGCCTGGGAAGTCAGATACACGCAAACATAAAAAGTGTGCTTAACAATCGAGTCGAACTCCTCCTCCGAACAATCTCACCCTCCCGCTTCCTCCTCCCCACCCCCTAGACCTTTCGGCAACTGCTTTTCGGGCTCCCACCCTTTTCACAAGTCTGGGCCTTATAAGGGATCCTCTCTAGTATGGGGCTTCAGGGTCTGATCCGAAACTCCGGACACATTTATTTAGCAAAAGTTTTCTCCGTGCCTGCCGGGTCCCTCAGTGCCTACGCGGTTCTACCTTCGCCACTACCGAGCAAGCGGGCCTCAGACCCCGGATCTCGGCCTTCCTTCCCTACCCCCTGTCCCGCCGGTCAAGGTTCAGGTCTTTTTGGCCCGGACCGAGTAGCCGCGGCCTTCGCCGCCATTAGCGGCTCCAACCCACAACTTTTTCCCCAGCCCGCAGCGTCCCCCACTCCACAACAGACTCGAAAGCTCCTGTGCCCCTAGCCCACGTCTTCTCACCATGGTGGCGGTTCTGATGGCTCCGATTCCCGCCGGATTCACCTCCGCAGAGGCCTAGAGACCCGCCAACAACTAGATTCCCGCCGTCGCTACCGGAAATGCAGCCGCCAGCAAAATGAGATCGGGTGGAAAGCTACTTCCGGTCCCGGCACAGGGCCCTTGAGTTCCTACCGGAGGGCGGAGTTGCGTGTGGGGGTGGAGGCGGAGGTGGGTTGGGCTGGAGAGTGGGTGGTGGTATTAACAAAGAACGCTGGAGCGGCTTGCGTCACAATCACCTTTCTTCCCCTGCTTATCAGTTAACGGTCCTCATCTACCACTCTCCCGGACATTGTCCTCTACAGCAACTGTTCCTATCTAGCTTCGCTGCTCCTGCCTCAGCACCACTGCATTTGCTTTTGCCACTGTTTGGAATAATAGCCTCCCACGACTCCAGCGATGTGTAATACTAAAGCAATCACCCTCAAGATTTAAGCTTAAACCTGGCATGGTGGTGCAAGCCTGAAATCCCAGCAAGTTTAGGAGGCTCAGGGAGGAGAACAGCAAGTTCAAGGCCAGCCTCAGCAACTTCACGGAACCCTAAAGAGATGCTGTCTCAAAATAAAAATAATAAACGAGCTGGGAATATAACTAAGTGGTTAGGCACCCCCGAATTCAATCCAAAAAAAAAAAAAGGAAAAGATTTAAGCTTAAAAAATATTTCCCCAGTGAAGACTTCTCTGGACATCCTATTTAAGTCCACAACCTTCCCACCCACCTCACCCCAATCTCTGCTACACCCCCAGCCTCCACATTTCCTCCCCTCCACCCCAGAAAACTCAGCAAAAATCAACTTGAAAAAGATAATTAAAATAGAGGAAGAATGATGGAGGTCCTGAATTCAAAGTTATGACTCAAGCAGGACATTTGTCAGTTAAGTGAAAAGGCCCAAATGGGATGGAACTTAAAGACTTTTTGGAGTGGGGTCAGATGGTAGCCCCGAAGGATGTAGGAAGCAATTCGATTTGAGAATGAGCTCCCCAGTTCTCTAAAATACCCCACCAGACACATCTAGAACTTCACCCTTATTAGTAGGGCTTTCCAGGTGCTTCAGGGATTTGAATTTAAGACCACGGATCTCATGTAGGAAATCAACAGTACAAAGATAGCTCCTCCTCCTCCTTGGGCACCAAATCCAAAGGACTGGGAAGTGCAGGGCTTGTACCTCCCTTTCTGAGGGTTCATGCTGCCATGGGTGAAGGAGCCCTGATTCCAGCAGCCCTTCCAAGAGACGAAGCCTCAGGTGAACAGTATCCCAGAGAAGCCACTTTTCAGGCTACAAAAAGACCTCTTTACCCCATCCCTTGGCTAGGCAGGGCCGAAAGTCCTTTTCCTGAGCCATATCTGAAGTTGCTACCTTTAGTGTGGATTCAATTTTTTAAAGAAATCTAGCTAGGCATTGTGGGGCACACCTGTAATCCCAACAACTAAGGAGGCTGAGGCAGAAGGATCACAAGTTCAAGGCCAGCCTTAGCAACTTAATGAGGCCCTAAGCAATTTAGCAAGTCTCTAAGCAACATAGCAAGATCCTGTCTCAAAATAAAAAATAAAAAAGGCTGGAGATAGCTGGGTGCAGTGGCACAGGCCTATTATCCCAGTAGCTTGGGAGGCTGAGGCAGGAGAATTGCAAGTTCAAAACCAGGCTCAGCAACTCAGTGAGACCCTGTCTCTAAATAAAATACAAAACAGGGATGGGGATGTGGCTCAGTGGCCAATTGCCCCTGAATTGAATCCCTGGTGCAAAACAAACAAACAAACAAACAAAGGCTGGGGATTTAGCTCAGTGGTTAAGCTAAATTGAACCCCTGGGTTCAATCCCCTGTACCAAAAAGGAAAAAAAAAAGTGTATAATTATTTTAAACTGTGCACCATTTTCATCTTTCCCAATGACAAGACACAGGAAGAGGTATTGGAACTATCTGGAACAAGAGCCTATTTCTTCATTCTTCAAACCCCTGGAGAATATATCCCAATTGACAATCTTCCCTCCTTCCAAGCTTTCCACTGACCAGATGCAGAGACTTGGTGCCATAGGGGGTAGTTCTAGCAAAGGCACATGGAAATGTGTCAGGGTGTTGCTCCACATTCCCAGGCATTCACACCCTTCCCAAAGGCTGATGCCCAGAAGTCACTAGAAAGTTGACTCACAGATAATGTGGAAGTAGAGGCCCTGGAGCTAGTGCYTCCCTTTTGGCTCCTTTTCTGCCCCCTCCTTTGATGGGCTATAAAAGCACTCTGCATTTTCTGACTCTCCAAGACAGATATCCATTCTGTAGGCTTGGAAAACTCCAGTTGGGCAAACAAATTTGCGGGAGCCTAGGCAGTCCCTTTCCAGTGAATAGCTATTGGCCCTGGCTCTGGTTCTGTTTGGGCCAATAGTTTGTCAAAAATCTTGTCGAGATAGAGGGATGATTTGGAAAGTCATTAGCAGAACAGGATCCTAGGATGGGAAGGCTGAGGGGACATGGTATTGCAGCTGCCCACAGGGGTCTTTTGACACTATTGTTGGTCTGACGTGGAAAGTGGCTGTGCAGTCCGAAGCACTGACTCATGCTTAGAGAGCAGTCTGGGCCTAGCTAAAGGACCTGTCCCTGGAGTACAGAAACCTACAGAGCGGGTGTGGCTAAATTCTCCCTGGAATGAAAGGATGTGAACAGACAGCTAAGGAATAGACATCCTTCAGGGGATAGAGAAGGATTCATCAGAGACAGAAGGAAGGACACTCAGGAGAGGGAGCTTTCGTAGCGCAGAAGCAAGTGGAGTGGCATCAAAGACCCTGGAGGCCCACAAAATCCCCTTTCTGCTGCTGGCCGGCCTCCAAAATCTAATCACTCCCTCTCATGCAAAGGACTAGACTCCCCAAGAAATCTAGTCTAGGATTCTCAAGGATTCTATCCAAGCAGGAAACCCAGGCCACGAATTTGAATTCCTTGACCTTTTCAGTCAGATGAGTGACAAGGGCCCACAGCCTGAACTTCCTAAAGAGAACATGACCAGAACAAGGGACAAGAAACCATGGGAAAGAACTGGTGTATGAAAAGAAAACAAGCGGATCATTCTCTGATGACTTAAATAATGCCTATTTTTTATTCCATCTGATTACAAAAGTAGAAAAATGTCTATGTAATTGTTATTGCCTTCTTTACTCTCATTCAGAGGGTTGGGACTGGGGATATAGTTCAGTTGGTAGATTGCTTGCCTTGCATGCACAGTCCCTGAATTCAATCCCTAGTACCACCAAAAAAAAAAAAAGAGTACCTACCGTTGGGTTAAGACTTCTGCTGAATGGGCAAGGCAGTGATTTAGGGTGGCAAGACTCTGCCCTCTTATCAGCTGAAGAAGAAAATCAGGGGAAAACTAGTTCTACCAAAAAGCTGTTCCTGTTTCATAAGTCCTTGCCAGTCCCCTTCTGCCCTCAGGACACCCAGCGCTGCTTCTCTGTATACCCTGACGTTTGCTGAGGGATGACGCAGCCAAAGCCTCATCCACACCTTTCACACCTAAGGTGCTAGATTAGATTCCCTGGAGACAGAGATGGAGAATCAGGGTCCACCATGGAGTGAGGGCAGGACTGGGCAGAGGAAGAGGTTGACCTGCAACATATTTGCAACTGAGAGATCATTCAGTCCAGAGGGGATTTCTGGATCTGGAATGATCCTTGGGAACAGGGGTGGAGTTTTAATTACTGGTATCCATAGGTCACTGGCCAAGAGCCCCTCTTGGGAAAGGGCAGAGCCCCAGATTCTGTAGCTCGCTGTGGCCAAGAGCTGGTGCTAGAGCTGAACCCATCTCTGCAAGTAGTAGCTTTTTTCTCTCAAGCAGCTGGGGTGTTGGCCTTGAAAAGGTCACCTGGGCAGGGTCCACAGCATCCCCACTCAAAGCGTCTCCCTGTGGCATGTGACCATAAAAGGCYCTCTTGTGGTGACTTTCACTCTTTTGCAGATGCTCACCAACACCCTGAACATGTGACACTTATTCCTCAGGATGTTCCCAAGTCTGGACTTACTGCTAATGCTCTCCCCACCCACAGTCCCTGCACACACAAACCTTTCCCCCTAAGTGTGTCCTCTTGTGCGTGGTGAGGCTGACCTGTGGCTACAGAGTTATCCATGCTGTACCCTCATGATGTTCCTCTTCTCCACGTGTCCTCTCATGTCTAAGAAGGGTGAGGCACCTATGAAACATCACTCATACTCCACACACATGTGGGGACCATTTCCTATGTGTCTCTCTGGTATAAGATGAAATTTGACTGAAGGCTCATGTCTTGCCCAGAATTCCTGCCCAGACACACAAGATTCCCCTCAGTGTGTCTTCTAGTGTCTGATGAGATTTGATTTCTGGCTAAAGCCTTGCCCACACTCCCCACAAACATAATGCTTCTCCCCGAGTGTGTCTTCCAGTGGACGAGAAGGTGTGACTAAAACCTTACCCACATTCAGTGCACACAAAAGGCTTCTCTCCTGGGTGTATTCTCTCATGTTGGAAGAGGGTTGATTTGCAGCAAACGCCTCACCCACACTCCCTGCAAACAGAGGCTTCTCCCCCGAGTGTGTCCTCTGGTGGTTCCTGAGGGTCCCCTTACCCCCCGAAGCCTCGTCCACATTGCAGGGGCATGGAGGGTTTCTCACCTGAGTGTGTCCTCTGGTGTCTGAAGAAAGATGGCATCTGGCCAAAGCCTTCCCCACGCTTGCGGTAAATGCAGAATTTCTCCCCTAAGCAAGTCTTCTGATGTCTACTGATAGACTTATTTCTAAAGCTTTTCCCCACTCCCTGTACAAGAGAGGTTCCTCTTCTGAATGTGYTCTCTGGGCTCTGTCGAGGCTGAGCTTTTGGCTAAAGACTCCGCCCATTCTCTGCACACATACGGCAAGTATGTCCAGTGGTGTTCTGATGATGTCTGTAAAGCCCCACCCACCATCACTGCAAACACAGGACTTGCCCAAGAGGGTCCTGGCATTTGTAATGAAGTTTGGCGTGGGGTTACARTCTGGCTCACACTCTCTACAGCTGACTGCTCCAAATCTCAAGGTTTCTAACTGCTCCAACCCTTTGTCCAATTGTATAAGGTTAACCCTTTGGGC